CAAGTGATTCTCCTCCATACGCGACTCAAACGGGACCGTCAACTCAATCAGGATGAGTTGCCGTTTTTGCGCAGAATGGAGAACGATGATGTACGGAAGTGATCATGGGAAGTTGGCTGGTTAGTTATACAATTTCCCCGCTTGGATTCTTGGCCCCCATTGTGGGGACAACAAGAATAGACCCACTGTCTCCCCAACAAACATGTCGTAGGTGTCGACTTATTGGGGTTTTCTTCGAAGTCGGAGTACATCTGCTCGAACTCAGGCCATGACACAAGGCCAAAGCCCATATGGACGAACAACCAGGACTTTTCGTCGGAGTTTACAGCAGGTGAGCAAAGAAAAAGAGAAGAAGTTAAAAATTGTGTGGAAGTCTAGAATAGGACGAAAAAAAAAGAAAACTTTTTATCGGAGCTTAAAGCTTGTAAACGCTAAAAAGAAAAAGAAGATATGGGCAAGTGATCGGTATTCCGTCACTCAGCTACAGAGCTGAAAGCATGGTGCGACACTGTGAGCTGATGATTTCATTCAGAATGCGTTTCGAATGTGCCAAACGTGGTTTGTTTTGTGAACTGCAGACTCAAAAAATAGCGAGTAGCTCGTAGCCACAGAACTAGTGATGCGTTGTGCCATTATTTGCATGTGCAACTACTGATATGTGTAACTGCTGCTTTTATTGACAACAAACCTAGTATCGGGCTTTCTGAGTTGGTAATTCTCACCTCTGTCTTATGCATTTAATGTCTGCGTATGCTATTGGCTTTACTGGGACTGCAGCCTGGGTCCATTGTGTTTATCACAAGGGACCATGGTGGACATAATGTGTTATTTTCGATGGTTCAGGAACCGAGCAGTTATGATGCGACTGGGTTTGCTATGAAGTTGGAGTTGCGATTACTTCATAATGACTGTTATTGTGCGTGGTTTTCAAAGGCACGAGAACGGAACAATTATGCGGCAAGCACCTTCTCTGCTTCCGACAAGAAGAACAAACACCTGCACTGTTTCTGATCACACCTCCCACCTTATCACAGCAATCACCATCCTCATCATTATGTCCAGTGCCAAAAAAACGGATCTTGCCAGGTTAATCATCTCACCAGATCGCAGAAATGTTTGATCAGGCTGTTGTTCTTTCCTTGCTCCACCCAGATGGTCAAGCCATCAAAACATGTATTTCTTTGGCCTTGTCCTCTGCTCTTTTCCCATCAGTCTAGCTAGTCACTATCTAGTTCTTGAGTCTGATCTCTCTCATGACATCTTCAGAAAAGACCATATCAGAAATCAGAGCAGTGGATCCCTTCTAACTGAAAACTACATGAGACAACAAAAGCTTTCATGAAAGTTGATCGATCGTATGTTCACTAACCCAGTAGTATATCTACCACAGTTGTCTGCTAACTGGATCATCTGCTTTCTCTTAGTCGACTGTATCCAACCGTCAGCAGTTTATCGTGTTGAACTGTACTCTCTGGTGGTTCCTGGACAGTTAATATTACATCTGTGCAGTTGACGTTTGTCCTGAATCAGATGTGTGAATCATCAAGCTGTAGCTCGACAACTGTACGTATTTTGGCTCACTGTATATACAAAGAACACACATAACAAATGTATGCGCACTTTGGCAGATGTCATGTAAGAACATATTTCGAGGTTATATTAAATGTTGGCTGTAATGTGTATTATGATGCTTGCTCAAAAAATGCCATTGCTCATATGTTTGTTTAATCAATCGAGTGTTGTCTCCATAATGACAGGACTATAACACTCTCTTTCTCTTTCACTGTTTTTTCACTCTCTGAATTGCGTCGTGTGTCTGTCTTCAGTGTCCTCGACTTTTTCATCATTATCGTTTTTATGTCTTTTAAAGTGCTGACATTTTCCACTCCTCCTCCCCCCCCCCCCGCCCCTCTCTCTCTTTTCCTTCTCTTTCTCTCTTTCATTTCAACAACTCTTTTTACATTCCCAATGTCACCAATCTCTTATATTTAACCGTTTTTGTTTCCGTGAAAAAAACGACCTACTCTTCTTTGTATCTACAGTTCGAGAACCATAATTCAAATGGTACCATATGACGAATAACTTCCAACAAAGTCCGCGGATGACGTCTTTTAGTTGACTTAAGGTTTTCAGAAGCACCGAGCTTTAGCTTAAACTGCTCAGTCTCTACCTATAAGCGACTGATCGCTTCAACATAAAGTGACGTTTATATACATTTTTATTTACAGTCTGAAGTTAGTCAACATAATTATCTACTTTAGACAGCAAATGTACACCCGGTCAGTACTCCGGGTAGCCAATACATGCGATTTTGAGGCCGACGTAGATATCTGTGATTTGCCCTGTTGGACTCCCATCCATGATGCTACTCTTTGAGCCACGTTGTCAAACCTTCAGGTAGTAGTCCGGACAGGACAAGTCTTAGTCAGTCAGTTATTTAGTTGAGAAAATGAAAGATACCCAATTAGGTAACCAAGGTGATAAGAATGTGTGTTTCTGGTGTTCTCATGCTCAAAAAAGGCTCTTGTCGCAACGTTTGATTTGAAGAGCAGTTGACTTGTCTAGTGTCTAGTTAGTATATGTTTCTCTCTAGCAAGTCAACCACGTTTCATGTGCCCACTACAACAGAGTCCCAAAAGATGTAAAGGCTCTCAGCAGGGGGTAAGAAGCCAGTGAGATGTACACAGACACCATGTTTTCCCTGAACCTTTTTTCACGGGCTGCTGGTTTTAACTGAAAATAACCGTGATCACTGATTTCAACTGTTATTATGTGAACTAAAAACGTCAGCAAAATAGGCGCAGTTTTTTCTTCTTTCCGCTTGTGGTGAAGTGAAAAGAAGTGAGAAATTGAATCGGGTGGATAAAATAAAATCCTGGCTAGTCGTGGGCCTAAAGGGTAAAGTTGGTTGCAACACACCGAAACGGTGCAATAATATTCACTGTAATGCTCGTTAATTTATTTCCTTTATTGTTACTTCAAGACGCCGTGGCGGAGCGGTTAGACGCTCGCCTGGGGAGCGAAAGGTGGTGGGTTTATTGCCTGGCGGAGCCGGGCTGTTTTTTTTCAAAAATGACCTTGGCCTTGAGGGGGTACCGGGTGCCGTCCCGGGAAGTAAAGGCGGCCGGCGTAATGCTGACCATATCCCCCATCTTGTGCCGATTGGTCTGTAGAAAATTGGTCTAGCCCTATATGCCCTATACGCCTAAAGGCATTGAAAAGGGTCCCCTTTTTTTTTTACTTATTGTTACCTAACCTCATTTGTTTACGTAACATTTCTACAATGTTATATAGTGAATACAGAGTCAGTTCATGTGTGGGTCTGTTTTATTTTGATTTGTTTGTTGACTGTCTGTGTAAAGCAGTGACATATTATGTCTTTTCTACCCGTTTTTATCTATTCTCTTCCTTGTCTATTCCTAATGTTTTTTGTTTGTTTTTCTAGTCATTGACTTTTCGCTTGGGCGGTCTTGTTCTGAAAATGCATGCTAGTATTGAGATACTTGAACACAAACACATCAGACTGCAGGTGTACTAACTAGACTGGCAGGTCCATTGAGGACATTTAAGAACATTTGTCAAAGTTGAACGGGGCATCTAGGATTTCCCCTTTTGATTTGCCATTCCGGGTTAAGGTTTTATAATGTCGGGGTGTCAAACCTTCAAGTTAGTGTCCAGAGAAGGCGAGTAGTGAATAGTCGGTGGGGCAGTTGTGTTGTAAAATCTTCGGACCTTCCTGCTCAGCAATGATGATTTCATAACCATACACGCGAACACCGAATAGTCAAGGACAACAGGGTACAGCACAGTAGTATCTGCTGTAGCCGTTAGAGGAGTGTAGACGACAATAGTATATGGTGTAGCCGTTAGAGGAGTGTAAACCATAGTAGCATCTGGTGCAGCCGTTAGAGGAGGGTACTGCACAGTAGTATATGGTGTAGCCGTTAGAAGAGGGCACAGCACAGAAGTATCTGGTGTAGCCGTTAGAAGAGGGCACAGCACAGTAGTACATGGGGTAGCCGTTAGAAGAGGGCACAGCACAGTAGTATATGGTGTAGCCGTTAGAAGAGGGTACAGCTCAGTAGTATATGGTGTAGCCGTTAGAAGAGGGCACAGCACAATAGTATATGGTGTAGCCGTTAGAAGAGGGCACAGCACAGTAGTATATGGTGTAGCCGTTAGAAGAAGGCACAGCACAGTAGTACATGGTGTAGCCGTTAGAAGAGGGTACAGCACAGTAGTATATGGTGTAGCCGTTAGAAGAGGGCTCAGCACAGTAGTATATGGTGTAGCCGTTAGAAGAGGGTACAGCACGGTAGTATATGGTGTAGCAGTTAGAAGAGGGAACAGCACAGTAGTACATTGTGTAGCCGTTAGAAGAGGGCACAGGACGGCAGTATATGGTGTAGCCGTTAGAAGAGGGTACAGCACAGTAGTACATGGTGTAGCCGTTAGAAGAGGGTACAGCACAATAGTATATGGTGTAGCCGTTAGAAGAGGGCACAGCACAGTAGTACATGGTGTAGCCGTTAGAAGAGGGTACAGCACAGTAGTACATGGTGTAGCCGTTAGAAGAGGGCACAGCACAGTAGTATATGGTGTAACCGTTAGAGGAGGGTATAGCACAGTAGTATATGGTGTAGCCGTTAGAAGAGGGTACAGCACAGTAGTATATGGTGTAGCCGTTAGAAGAGGGTACAGCACAGTAGTATATAGTGTAGCCGTTAGAAGAGGGCACAGCACAGTAGTATATGGTGAAGCCGTTAGAAGAGGGTACTGCACAGTAGTATATGGTGTAGCCGTTATAAGAGGGTACAGCACAGTAGTATATGGTGTAGCCGTTAGAGGAGGGTACAGCACAGTAGTATATGGTGTAGCCGTTAGAAGAGGGCACAGCACAGTAGTATATGGTGTAGCCGTTAGAGGAGTGTAGACGAAAATAATATATGGTGTAGCCGTTAGAGGAGTGTAGACGACAATAGTATATGGTGTAGCCGTAAGAGGAGTGTAAACCATAGTAGCATCTAGTGCAGCCGTTCTAGGAGTGTAGACGACAATAGTATATGGTGTAGCCGTTAGAGGAGTGTAGACGACAATAGATTATGGTGTAGCCGTTAGATGGGGGTAGACGACAATAGTATCTGGTGTAGCCGTTAGAAGAGGGTACAGCACAGTAGTATATGGTGTAGCCGTTAGAAGAGGGTACAGCACAGTGGTATATGGTGTAGCCGTTAGAAGAGGGTACAGCACAGTAGTATATGGTGTAGCCGTTAGAAGAGGGCACAGCACAGTAGTATATGGTGTAGCCGTTAGAAGAGGGTACAGCACAGTAGTATATGGTGTAGCCGTTAGAAGAGGGTACAGCACAGTAGTATATGGTGTAGCCGTTAGAGGAGGGTACAGCACAGTAGTATATGGTGTAGCCGTTAGAAGAGGGTACAGCACAGTAGTATATGGTGTAGCCGTTAGAAGAGGGTACAGCACAGTAGTATATGGTGTAGCCGTTAGAAGAGGCTACAGCACAGTAGTATATGGTGTAGCCGTTAGAAGAGGGTACAGCACAGTAGTATATGGTGTAGCCGTTAGAAGAGGATAAAGCACAGTAGTACATGGTGTAGCCGTTAGAGGAGTGTAGACGACAATAGTATATGGTGTAGCCGTTAGAGGAGTGTAAACCATAGTAGCATCTGGTGCAGCCGTTCGAGGAGTGTAGACGACAATAGTATATGGTGTAGCCGTTCGAGGAGTGTAGACGACAATAGTATATGGTGTAGCCGTTAGAGGAGTGTAGACGACAATAGTATATGGTGTAGCCGTTAGAGGAGTGTAAACCATAGTAGCATCTGGTGCAGCCGTTAGAGGAGTGTAGACGACAATAGTATCTGCTGTAGCCGTTAGAGGAGTGTAGACGACAATCGTATCTGCTGTAGCCGTTAGAGGAGTGTAGACGACAATAGCATCTGGTGTAGCCGTTAGAGAAGTGTAAACCATAGTAGCATCTGGTGTAGCTGTTAGAGGAGTGTAGGCGACAATAGTATATGGTGTAGCCGTTAGATAAGGGTAGACGACAATAGTATATGGTGTAGCCATTAGAGGAGGGTACTGCACAGTAGTATATGGTGTAGCAGTTAGAAGAGGGTACACCACAGTAGTATATGGTGTAGCCGTTAGAAGAGGGCACAGGACGGCAGTATATGGTGTAGCCGTTAGAAGAGGGTACTGCACAGTAGTATATGGTGCAGCCGTTAGAAGAGGGTACAGCACAGTAGTATATGGTGTAGCCGTTAGAAGAGGGCACAGGACGGCAGTATATGGTGTAGCCGTTAGAAGAGGGTACTGCACAGTAGTATATGGTGTAGCCGTTAGAAGAGGGTACAGCACAGTAGTACATGGTGTAGCCGTTAGAAGAGGGTACAGCACAGTAGTATATGGTGTAGCCGTGAGAAGAGGGCACAGCACAGTAGTATCTGGTGTAGCGGTTAGGAGAGGCTACAGCACAGTAGTATATGGTGTAGCCGTTAGAAGAGTGCACAGCATAGTAGTATATGGTGTAGCCGTTAGAGGAGGGTACAGCACAGTAGTATATGGTGTAGCCGTTAGAAGAGGGTACAGCACAGTAGTACATGGTGTAGCCGTTAGAAGAGGGTACAGCACAGTGGTATATGGTGTAGCCGTTAGAAGAGGGTACAGCACAGTAGTATATGGTGTAGCCGTTAGAAGAGGGTACAGCACAGTATATATATGGTGTAGCCCGTTAGAAGAGGGTACAGCACAGTAGTATATGGTGTAGCCGTTAGAGGAGGGTACAGCACAGTAGTATATGGTGTAGCCGTTAGAAGAGGGCACAGCACAGTAGTATATGGTGTAGCCGTTAGAAGAGGGTACAGCACAGTAGTATATGGTGTAGCCGTTAGAAGAGGCTACAGCACAGTAGTATATGGTGTAGCCGTTAGAAGAGGGTACAGCACAGTAGTATATGGTGTAGCCGTTAGAAGAGGGTACAGCACAGTAGTACATGGTGTAGCCGTTAGAGGAGTGTAAACCATAGTAGCATCTGGTGCAGCCGTTCGAGGAGTGTAGACGTAGTATATAGTAGCCGTAGAAGAGGGTACAGTAGTAGCTGTAGCCGTTAGAGGAGTGTAGACGACAATAGTATATGGTGTAGCCGTTAGAGGAGTGTAAACCATAGTAGCATCTGGTGCAGCCGTTCGAGGAGTGTAGACGACAATAGTATATGGTGTAGCTGTTAGAGGAGTGTAGACGACAATAGTATATGGTGTAGCCGTTAGAGGAGTGTAAACCATAGTAGCATCTGGTGCAGCCGTTAGAGGAGTGTAGACGACAATAGTATCTGCTGTAGCCGTTAGAGGATTGTAGACGACAATCGTATCTGCTGTAGCCGTTAGAGGAGTGTAGACGACAATAGCATCTGGTGTAGCCGTTAGAGAAGTGTAGGCGACAATAGTATATAGTGTAGCCGTTAGAGGAGTGTAGGCGACAATAGTATATAGTGTAGCCGTTAGAGGAGTGTAGACGACAATCGTATCTGCTGTAGCCGTTAGAGGAGTGTAGACGACATTAGCATCTGGTGTAGCCGTTAGAGAAGTGTAAACCATAGTAGCATCTGGTGTAGCCGTTAGAGGAGTGTAGGCGACAATAGTATATGGTGTAGCCGTTAGATGGGGGTAGACGACAATAGTATCTGGTGTAGCCATTAGAGGAGGGTACTGCACAGTAGTATATGATGTAGCCGTTAGAAGAGGGTACACCACAGTAGTATATGGTGTAGCCGTTAGAAGAGGGCACAGCACAGTAGTTTATGGTGTAGTCGTTAGAAGAGGGCACAGCACAGTAGTACATGGTGTAACCGTTAGAAGAGGGAACAGCACAGTAGTACATGGTGTAGCCGTTAGAAGAGGGCACAGCACAGTAGTACATGGTGTAGCCGTTAGAAGAGGGTACAGCACAGTAGTACATGGTGTAGCCGTTAGAAGAGGGTACAGCACAATAGTATATGGTGTAGCCGTTAGAAGAGGGTACAGCACAGTAGTATATGGTGTAGCCGTTAGAAGAGGCTACAGCACAGTAGTATATGGTGTAGCCGTTAGAAGAGGGTACAGCACAGTAGTACATGGTGTAGCCGTTAGAAGAGGGTACAGCACAATAGTATATGGTGTAGCCGTTAGAAGAGGGTACAGCACAGTAGTATATGGTGTAGCCGTTAGAAGAGGCTACAGCACAGTAGTATATGGTGTAGCCGTTAGAAGAGGGTACAGCACAGTAGTATATGGTGTAGCCGTTAGAAGAGGGTACAGCACAGTAGTACATGGTGTAGCCGTTAGAGGAGTGTAGACGACAATAGTATATGGTGTAGCCGTTAGAAGAGGGTACAGCACAGTAGTACATGGTGTAGCCGTTAGAAGAGGGTACAGCACAATAGTATATGGTGTAGCCGTTAGAAGAGGGTACATGACGGCAGTATATGGTGTAGCCGTTAGAAGAGGGTACTGCACAGTAGTATATGGTGCAGCCGTTAGAAGAGGGTACAGCACAGTAGTATATGGTGTAGCCGTTAGAAGAGGGCACAGGACGGCAGTATATGGTGTAGCCGTTAGAAGAAGGTACTGCACAGTAGTACATGGTGTAGCCGTTAGAAGAGGGTACAGCACAGTAGTATATGGTGTAGCCGTTAGAAGAGGGCACAGCACAGTAGTATCTGGTGTAGCCGTTAGAGGAGGGTACAACACAGTAGTATATGGTGTAGCCGTTAGAAGAGGGCACAGCATAGTAGTATATGGTGTAGCCGTTAGAGGAGGGTTCAGCACAGTAGTATATGGTTTAGCCGTTAGAAGAGGGCACAGCACAGTAGTACATGGTGTAGCCGTTAGAAGAGGGCACAGCACAGTAGTATATGGTGTAATAGTTAGAGCAGGGTACAGCACAGTAGTATATGGTGTAGCCGTTAGAAGAGGGTACAGCACAGTAGTATATGGTGTAGCCGTTAGAAGAGGGTACAGCACAATAGTGTATGGTGTAGCCGTTAGAAGAGGTTACAGCACAGTAGTACATGGTGTAGCCGTTAGAAGAGGGCACAGCACAGCAGTATATGGTGTAGCCGTTAGAGGAGGGTACAGCACAGTAGTATATGGTGTAGCCGTTAGAAGAGATCACAGGACGGCAGTATATGGGGTAGCTGTTAGAGGAGGGTACAGCACAGTAGTATATGGTGTAGCCGTTAGAGGAGGGTACAGCACAGTAGTATATGGTGTAGCCGTTAGAAGAGGGCACAGCACAGTAGTATATGGTGTAGCCGTTAGAAGAGGGTACAGCACAGTAGTGTATGGTGTAGCCGTTAGAAGAGGGTACAGCACAGTAGTGTATGGTGTAGCCGTTAGAAGAGGGCACAGCACAGTAGTTTATGGTGTAGTCGTTAGAAGAGGGCACAGCACAGTAGTACATGGTGTCACCGTTAGAAGAGGGAACAGCACAGTAGTACATGGTGTAGCCGTTAGAAGAGGGCACAGCACAGTAGTACATTGTGTAGCCGTTAGAAGAGGGTACAGCACAGTAGTACATGGTGTAGCCGTTAGAAGAGGGTACAGCACAATAGTATATGGTGTAGCCGTTAGAAGAGGGTACAGCACAGTAGTATATGGTGTAGCCGTTAGAAGAGGCTACAGCACAGTAGTATATGGTGTAGCCGTTAGAAGAGGGTACAGCACAGTAGTACATGGTGTAGCCGTTAGAAGAGGGTACAGCACAATAGTATATGGTGTAGCCGTTAGAAGAGGGTACAGCACAGTAGAATATGGTGTAGCCGTTAGAAGAGGCTACAGCACAGTAGTATATGGTGTAGCCGTTAGAAGAGGGTACAGCACAGTAGTATATGGTGTAGCCGTTAGAAGAGGGTACAGCACAGTAGTACATGGTGTAGCCGTTAGAGGAGTGTAGACGACAATAGTATATGGTGTAGCCGTTAGAAGAGGGTACAGCACAGTAGTACATGGTGTAGCCGTTAGAAGAGGGTACAGCACAATAGTATATGGTGTAGCCGTTAGAAGAGGGCACATGACGGCAGTATATGGTGTAGCCGTTAGAAGAGGGTACTGCACAGTAGTATATGGTGCAGCCGTTAGAAGAGGGTACAGCACAGTAGTATATGGTGTAGCCGTTAGAAGAGGGCACAGGACGGCAGTATATGGTGTAGCCGTTAGAAGAAGGTACTGCACAGTAGTACATGGTGTAGCCGTTAGAAGAGGGTACAGCACAGTAGTATATGGTGTAGCCGTTAGAAGAGGGCACAGCACAGTAGTATCTGGTGTAGCCGTTAGAGGAGGGTACAACACAGTAGTATATGGTGTAGCCGTTAGAAGAGGGCACAGCATAGTAGTATATGGTGTAGCCGTTAGAGGAGGGTACAGCACAGTAGTATATGGTTTAGCCGTTAGAAGAGGGCACAGCACAGTAGTACATGGTGTAGCCGTTAGAAGAGGGCACAGCACAGTAGTATATGGTGTAATAGTTAGAGGAGGGTACAGCACAGTAGTATATGGTGTAGCCGTTAGAAGAGGGTACAGCACAGTAGTATATGGTGTAGCCGTTAGAAGAGGGTACAGCACAATAGTGTATGGTGTAGCCGTTAGAAGAGGTTACAGCACAGTAGTACATGGTGTAGCCGTTAGAAGAAGGCACAGCACAGCAGTATATGGTGTAGCCGTTAGAGGAGGGTACAGCACAGTAGTATATGGTGTAGCCGTTAGAAGAGATCACAGGACGGCAGTATATGGGGTAGCTGTTAGAGGAGGGTACAGCACAGTAGTATATGGTGTAGCCGTTAGAGGAGGGTACAGCACAGTAGTATATGGTGTAGCCGTTAGAAGAGGGCACAGCACAGTAGTATATGGTGTAGCCGTTAGAAGAGGGTACAGCACAGTAGTGTATGGTGTAGCCGTTAGAAGAGGGTACAGCACAGTAGTACATGGTGTAGCCGTTAGAAGAGGGCACAGCACAGTAGTATATGGTGTAGCCGTTAGAAGAGGGCACAGCACAGTAGTACATGGTGTAGCCGTTAGAAGAGGGCACAGCACAGTAGTATATGGTGTAGCCGTTAGAAGAGGGTACAGCACAGTAGTACATGGTGTAGCCGTTAGAAGTGGGCACAGCACAGTAGTACATGGTGTAGCCGTTAGAAGAGGGCACAGCACAGTAGTATATGGTGTAGCCTTAGATTGTCCTCATTATAACCGTGTGGTGTTTGTGACATAGAGGTTGTGAATCAATTGTTATAATCCTTTAAAAAAAAAACTGGGCACACTAAATAACCACCCACGCACAACGGACTGCAGGTTATTTGGTAACCGTAATGTGACTTTCTAAAAGATGTGAACATCAAGGAAGATTAGCTAATAAACAGCATCTTTTATTGGAAGCTGAAATATTTTGGTCATATTAATCGCCATGGCGGTTTGGAAAAAAAATATTTACCAGAAGGCAAGATGCCAGGAAGGAGGGGCAGGGGCCGAGCAACAAGAAGATGGGCACAGGATATTAGTGACTCCTTGAATATGAAAGTGCATGAGGCGGGTGAGCTGGCGAGAGACCGAGTTTCTTGCATGCAGACCGCGATGAGAGCGACGTTCTGCTACATGATGATGAATGTGACCCAGTATGACTGTGATATGACCGGGGTTCTGTGATTTCTTCCTGTCTCACCAAGCCCACAAACTGCAACCCTGGAGGGGGTCAAATGTAAATCAAAGACATCCTTTGGGTGCTTATTAATATCCTACCTCAAACAGGGGAAATCCCCCGGTCACGGGGCAGTCTAATATTTCAGGGGTGGTAGATAGGGTGCATGCAGTCGTGGGACCTAGGCTGCATTCTGTCGTAGGGCTAGGTGGGTTAGGGTTAGGGCCAGTTCTAGATGTTCTGGGGTCTTTAAAAGCACCAGAAAGCAGGAAAACCCAATCTCACCACCCTCTAAAAGGTTGGACTGTCATGTGACGTCATCTGGAGGAGGATATTATTTAAGAACGCATCCTTGAAGTCAGCTGCAGGCGATTGGGTAGCAAACCGCTTTGTAATGAATGGGGCAACGGCTTGAGTGTCGTTCCATTCATTCAGTATTGACTGGACGGGACGTAAATTTGATTAATATCACAACAGAACAGTCAGATAAATGCTGGGGTTGGTTTAGAAATCCTAAAAAGGGTATGCTTATCGTCGTGGTATAGTGATGACAACAATGTTGATGATGATGGTAATGACGACGACGATGATGATGATGAATATCGTGATGATGCTCAAACTTCCGCACTTGTTCCAACCCAATTAACTTGTCACCCACAAACGCACCAGCAATAAAAACATGGCGAACGGAAACTCCCCCCCCCCCCCCCCTTTTTTTTTTCAACCCTTTTTTTCAACAAGGAAGAAAAGATAGAGTGACATGTTGCAGCGAAACAGCTGAACCTGTTCATACTGTTGCGACGATGACCGGAACTGCTTCACTAACACGTTGTTATCGTCAGTGTGTTTCCCCGTGTGGGGTTCCGGCAGGGGTGGATTCAGACATAAGCTAACTGAGCTACAGCTTGGGGTCTCACTAACTACAGGGGCCTCGTAAAATTCCGTTCTTGCTCACAAATGCAGTTTTCCTTAAATATATTTTAAATGCAATTTCCCTTTTAATGAATACTGAACCCCCAACTACCAACGCTGTCCGGGGGGGGGGGGGGGGAACTGCATTGCCCTAACCATCATGTCGCAAAAGGCTATTAAACAGAGCTGGACTATTCAACTGGCGGCCCGCAGAGACCTAGCAGGTGGTCCGCGGATCATTGCCAGTTGTATGGTATTAATGATCTTTGGAGTTCGAAACTCTGACCCATGACGTCACCCATTTCCCACAACCTGCTCCTGGGTAAACGTAGCTGAACAGTCGTGAAATAAAGGTTTGCTTTCTTAGAATGTGGCGTGCCAAAAGGCTCATGTATCGCAGTCTAGCTGTAAACTGCAACACCACGTACCAAACGTCCTTTTGATGACGAAAACAGAAAAAGTTTAAAAAAAAATTAATCTCAGATGATTGGATATGGACATTTTTCTTGTTTTACACACAATGGCGACATGATAGCACATCTAAATAACATGTTGAGATGAAACAGTAAACAGGTAAGTTTTGATCTAAGCTCGCCATTACTCCAAAATATGACACAAAACAAAACCAGCTACACGTCACGCTAGAACACAAAACATAGAAAGTTAAAAGAAATGACACCAACAGTTGAACGTGGATAAGGTAAAACAAAACTGTAAAACCTAGAGCGGTAGATACACGCTGAGACAAGACAAACAGTTAAACTCTGAAATCGAACACGTAGCAGTTCAGCACTGGGAAAGAACAAGTAGAAGTAGCAGTTAAACACTGAGAAAGAACCAGTAGAAGTTAGGTTTTGAGAAAGAACAAACAGCAATCAAACCCTGGAAGAGAGAGAAAGAGAGAGAAAGAGAGAGAGAGAGAGAGAGAGAGAGAGAGAGAGAGAGAGAGAGAGAGAGAGAGAGTAAACACTAACACAAAGCGAGTAGCAGTTAAACATGAAGACAGAAATAGTGAATCAGGCCAACACTCGGCTAGACGGTGTAATAGACAGTTAAATTTAAGCATTGTGACAAAAATATTCAGTAAACACTATAATTGTTTATTTAGCATTTAACTACTGAAGAAAAACATTCGACGATTGAACACCAAGGCAGCGTATTCAACAGTTCAACACCGAGACAGCGCATTCAACAGTTCAACACTGAGACAGCGCATTCAACAGTTCAACACCAAGACAGCGCATTCAACAGTTCAACACGGAGGCAGCGCATTCAACAGTTCAACACGGAGGCAGCGCATTCAACAGTTCAACACGGAGGCAGCGCATTCAACAGTTCAAAACCAAGACAGCGCATTCAACAGTTCAACACCAAGACAGCGCATTCAACAGTTCAACAGGGAGGCAGCGCATTCAACAGTTCAACATCAAACAGCGCATTCAACAGTTCAACACCAAGACAGCGCATTCAACAGTTCCACACCAAGACAGCGCATTCAACAGTTCAACACGGAGGCAGTGCATTCAACAGTTCAACACCGAGACAGCACATTCAACAGTTCAACACCAAGACAGCGCATTCAACAGTTCAACAGGGAGGCAGCGCATTCAACAGTTCAACATCAAACAGCGCATTCAACAGTTCAACACCAAGACAGCGCATTCAACAGTTCCACACCAAGACAGCGCATTCAACAGTTCAACACGGAGGCAGTGCATTCAACAGTTCAACACCGAGACAGCACATTCAACAGTTCAACACCAAGACAGCGCATTCAACAGTTCAACACCAAGACAGCGCATTCAACAGTTCCACACCAAGACAGCGCATTCAACAGTTCAACACTGAGGCAATGCATTCAACAGTTCAACAGCGAGACAGCGCATTCAACAGTTCAACACTGGGGCAGCGCATTAACAGTTCAACACTGAGACAGCGCATTCAACAGTTCAACACTAAGACAGCGCATTCAACAGTTTAACACTGAGACAGCGCATTCAACAGTTCAACACTGAGGCAGCACATTCAACAGTTCAACACTGAGGCAGCGCATTCAACAGTTCAACACTGAGACAGTACATTCAACAGTTCAACACTGAGACAGCGCATTCAACAGTTCAACACTGAGACAGCGCATTCAACAGTTCAACACTGAGACAGTGCATTCAACAGTTCAACTCTAAGACAGTGCATTCAACAGTTCAACACTGAGACAGCGTATTCAACAGTTCAACACTGAGACAGCGCATTTAACAGTTCAACACTGAGACACCGCATTCAACAGTTGAGACAGGACAAGGACAAGTTAAGCACATAAACAGAACATTTAACTGTTAAACATTGAGACAGGACAAGGACAAGTAGAAGTTAAGCACATAAACAAAACATTCAACTGTTAAACATTG